ATAACTTGTATTCTCATGTCATCAGTAGACAGGTACCGATGAAGCTTTTGAGAAGATGGAGCACATACAGGACTCATATTTTATTTTGATAATTCATTTTTGGTGTCTTACATACTATACAGAGCACGCTTGTATTAAAATTATTATATTAATGCAATGGATGTTGTTGCTTGTCTTTACTATTATGCATTGTTATGATACTGTACATGACGTCCTCCACCCCAGAACGTTTCCGCCGTTTCGGTTTTGGGGTGTGACATATAACTAGCATAGTAACATTCCTCGGGCTTGCCCTTGCATCGGACCTTGGTCCGGAAACATACTACCGACACATGCAAGTTCCACAAAGACCTCTAGCATACTAACATACCTCGGACCTCGCCCGACATCAGATCGTAATCCGTAACATATATCATAATTATGCCTAGGGCTAACCCCCCAGATCTTCCTACTATACACAAGCGTAATGGGCCGGCATTGTGGTCGTAGATCGATGCACATAGTGATGAAACTCACCTCGCACAACTGAAGACTGGCTGAAACCTCTGGCTGCTATCCGACAATTCCCGAACTGCTGCTCCCCTAGCTCCCCGAGCTACCAATACCAACATAATACTTAGTTCCAAAATGCCCTACAGTAGTCAAACTAAGTCAACTCTGGTAAAAGTCAAAGTCAACGGCCATGGTCAAAGTCAACAATTCCAGGTTGACTTGACTCGCCGAGTTGCTCCATCAACTTGTCGAGTCCAAAAGCTCAGAATCCTGCAATCGCGAACCAACTCGTCGAGTCAGCCCCTGACTCGCCGAGTTCCCTAGCTAACCAGACTCGTGACAAACCGAGTCAACTCGCCGAGTCATTCCCCTGACTCGCCAAGTTCACTCATAACTGGAAAACGGGACAACTCACTTAAACTCGTCGATTCCCTCCCTGGACTCGCCGAGTTCCTCGGTCTGTTGGACTATCATAAAGGATTAAGCCCCTATACTTCAAATTCGAACTCCAAACTTCATAAACACTCTGGAAATGACTTATTAAGGGTAAAGTTTCCAGCTTTACCCATCCTAAGTCCTTCTTAAAGGGTTTAGACAAAACCCTAGCTCATTAAGACATAACTCCGTGGTCCAAAAACCCTTATTACACCAAATCAAGACAGGGAAATCAAGATCTGGACTCTAGACATCCAATAACCACGTAAAGCCCTGGACTTTACTTCCTTGCATGGCCTTTAGGGCTCCAAAAGGCCATAATAATCTCTTTAAGCTTGCATGGGACTTCCTAATGGCATAAAGCTTGCACCTTTATGCCTTAACCACCCTAAATACTTCCAGATCTGAAAGGATCATGCTTGGGGATGTCCAAAACCCAAAGACAACCATTCTTGGACCAAAAACCTTCCAAAAGGGACTATAAGGAGATCTAATAAACCAAAAGCCAAGATGAAGACTTGATTACTAAGAAATACTTGTAACATCCCAAAAATCATGACCAAAAATTTCGTTTTAAAATCATTAATCGACCATAATCAAGTCATACATAAATCCTTATATGAAAACAAGTATCATTTCAAACATATTTATTTTATCAGAGTAAACATCCCAGGCTAAAAACTTCTTGAACCTCCAACTTCCTTCTTCTTCTTTTTCCTCTTCAAGAGCACACGAATCACACCAAGGTGGCTTAAACACTCACAAGATGCACTAGGGTTTCATGGGTGAGGGTTTGGGGTCTGGGGGCTAAAGATGAGGCTAAGGGAATGAGAATATGATGCTTAAATAGGGCACCAAGCCCCGAAATTAGGGTTTCCCATCCCAGACCAGACTCGCCGAATCAGTCCCCTAACTCGTCGAGTCGGCCACTTAATCTGTGACACAGAACTTTCTCCGACTCGGCGAGTTCTTCCTTGGACTCGACGAGTTGACTCATTGACTTAGGGTTTTTCCTTCCCCAACTTGGCCTCCTGGAATCCGGGTGTTACAGGAACCTTCTTGTTTCAGATATCATGTCAAAAAAAAATCCTCCATATCATTGGTTTGTCACCTAGTGTACTGGGCAACTGTCCACCAGGCGTGGATATCAAGTAATGACCTGAACATTAGTCGAAAAAAAAGCTTTTATTAATCACACAATCAAGTTTATCTACCTGATAGAGTTGTTATATAAATATGTTATTAACTAATTTGATCAGATCAACATAAGATATAACAAGTTGACTAGCTTTTACCATTTTCTCAAGGTTGATCCCACTTTTTCTAGTAACGGGGAAAACATTCAAGACCTTTGTAAGCAAAATAAGAGCATTTCGAATCTCCATGTACTGTACAAATTGCAAGCACTTAATCAGTAATTTTGTGATCCTTTGACTCCATTTCTAGTGTACCTTTTAGAACAATAATAAAATAACACAGTAGAGACTACAATTACTGGATTAGCAATAGTACAGATAATATTCATAGGTGCATACGAACCAGGCTTAAAAACATCTAATCCTGTCAGATCGGGTCAAATTCCAAAAGTACAAAATGAATGACTAAGAATTCGAATACCACGAGAGTACACTTGTATGACTCGCCTCCTAACAAAAAGTTCAAAATTTTGTAAAAAGTAACTACTAATTAACAGATTATGAACATGACAATATGACATATGAATGATATAAATTCACCTTCCAAAAGATTCCTAGCATAAATAGTACTTCCTTAAAAAAAGTAATCCATGTTTTCAGTCACCTCTTGAAGATTATTAACTATCGGCAATATCTGCACACATAATAGAAACAAAATTATTCAATTTGACCATATTAATATTACCACAACAAAAATTCCAAACTGATGATTAAATATGCATGATACTGATCATCCTCTGATACTGTTTTCAAATGTTTAGGTTTGATACTTCAACCACTGCAAAATTTCCACTTGAGTAACCGAGTTGACCATCTGATGTTACTTTTGCAATAGGCTCAGAGACACCACCCTCTTGTAAATTAACTCCTGATAAACTATGAGCAAGTGGGCTACTTGGAGAAGCAGATCCATTAGATGTTGAACCAATGTTGGTATCAAATAGGGGAATTATTGCCCATGAAATGACATTGTTGATGGAGTTGCGTCCTTCATTTCAGATCTCAATTGTGCACATAAATGGCGTAGTCCCACATTAAACAAATTTACAGCAGAGTTGTAGGTTGAAATACAACCGTGGGGATCTAGTTCTCTTGAACTTGGTTTAACTAACCCTAGTTTCTGAGGTAGACAATCCAATGGACCAGTATTGTGAACCCAAAATTTCCTGCCACCGTTATCATGTATACTCTGGACAAAAAAATAAATATAAAATGGAAATGAGTCAAAAGTTTAACTGTTTGGGCTATTTTTGTCTTTTTTTTTTTTACAATTTAATCTCACCTTGATGGAATTCTTAATTTCTGCAAGAACTAACAGTATTCTTTTTACAACTTGGGCATAAGAATACTTCTTGGCGAATGCATCAGCAATGTCATTTTGGCCAATGTCAATCATATAAAGTGCTCGTTGAAACCCGTCATCATTTATCATCTTTTGTGAACCTGAATATATCCCCTCAAAAAACTAAATTTACAAATCCCAAAATTGAATTTTTTAGGTAAGACAAAAATTGCAAAAAGTGAAACTAATGAAACATGTGAATTACCGGAAGCAAGAAGCTCAAAAGATGGACCTGTTAAAGGTAACTCATGATTAGAAGATAGACTCCATGATATAAAAAGCAATTGATAAATGGCTATTACTCCATTGATGTTGTTAATACATACCGGTTCCTTTCGTGAATAAACATATGGAGTGACTCCGCCTTTTCGTGAATTAACAAAGTATTTTCCTTCAATTGAAGTCTAGCATGTTAGAAGATAAACCGCATGATATAAAAAGCAATTGATACGATTTTGAATTTTGACGAGTGGATGGGAAAATAGTGATATGTGGAGTGGATCATATTTATGTTCCACCAAATAACAAAAGCATCTTTCTTTTACACAAAAATATTTATTCTAACTTGCTTTAACATTACAATTTATTTGATTCTAATGTTACAATGATTAATGAGTTCATTGAAAATAAGTCAAAACATAGACCACAAATTTTGTCCATGTTTTTTTTTGTCCCACACAAGTTTATTAGTTCGGATTTTATGTTATCTTAAACTAACCAATACTCTTCAAACATTTATAATAGTCTTTCATATATTTATTTTTAATTTTTAAAACATTTATAATAATCACAATCATTTTAAATGTTAGATATATGACTGAAAATACCCAACATATTAGCCAACATGTGTGGTCTCTCTTTGTTCGCAACTTTGGTTTAATATTCAAAACTATAATCAATAAATTAATCAAGAACAACATTGATTAAACTTTATCGAGATTACCATTTATTATTGAATTTACTTATCCATTTCAAAGATAAATCAGGCAACAAATTCGATTTACAGTTCTTGAATAGGGAAATTACTGGAGATACGCGAAATCATATTGCATTTTGATTTTTGATTAGATGATCCGTATGTACATTCCAAGATCCAAAAGAAACCAACTTCAAACCCTAATCCTAACTGTAGAACAACCTGTTAACCCTAGTTAACTGTTGTACATTTCAAATTAACAATGATGATGATCAGATCTGTTTAGATAAAACATGAAATCAGATCGATTTGTTTACCAGATGAGATTGTGTTTCAAACCCAATCCATGCTTTCCACGAACACATCCAGGCTTGTTGAACTGATTAGCGACCCGTTTGGATATTTTCATCTTTGGATACGCCCTTTTCCCCAATTTCTTCATCTTCTGCCGCTCGAATTTGTTGTTCAAGCATTTCGGCACCAATTCGTCGTCCAAATCATCATGATCATGATCATCATTGATTTCTTCTTCACCCTCATCTGCATCCTCTTCATACGGATCATAACCACCGTGACCATCATCCTCCAAGATCACGTGATGGAGATCATCGATTTCATACGTGTCTTTAAATTCCTGTTGATTTCAGTGGTCTACAAAATGAAAACACACAAAAAACAAGAGTATAAGTTACCAAATCAAGCCAAACTAACTACCTCACAGTGGTGAGTGATTTCCTCTACTAAATACTGCAAAGATATGACAGGCGACGGACATCTGTAAGCCAAACTAATTGCCTTTTTCATCTCAATTACTTTGTTAATTCATTCAATCCTAACATGCCAGACTTCAATTGAATGAAAATACTTGGGAGAAGCATGGCCGCTGGGGAAGGACCGGTGGTCAATGGCAAAGGTGAGGAACGAGATGTTTGATGAGACCGATAAGAAGGAGATCGAGCAGAGATCCGATGAGAAGATTAACAAGTAAGGTCAGGAGTAACGGAGAAGCAGATCGGAGAGGAGAGATAAGGAGGGAGAGGGGAGAGTCGATTACGAAGATGAAAGATAGAAAGAAGGTAGAAAAGAACAAGGCGGGTTTTCAAATTTTTGGGGATTTCATTTTCTCCCATTATCTGCTAAACGCGCGTTTCATTAAAATTATAAAGCGACAGTTATAGAGGACGTGCGTTTAAGATAAAACGCCCTCCGTGTTTTTAATTTTTTTCTTGCGACACAAATTTAAAGGCTCACAATAACACGTGACCTAAATCCTTAAATTTTTGGAAAGATGACACTAAGGTCACTCTCTTTTGCATAACATAAATCAGTGCGTGTCGTGGTTTGTGTGTCATTAAAGACATATATTCTAGTAGTGAAACGATCTTTATGATTCTCAAAGAATGAGAGGCAAGGAGAAAGATCTCGTGTTAAATTAGATAGCGTTTGCTACATAGACTAGATATGACCGAACAGAACTGAACATAACTAAATTTGATTATTCGTATAGCGGCTGGTACGATTAGAACACAATAAAACAAGATATAAAAATTAACAAGGTTGCCCTTGATTCAAATTAATACAATATATCCAACAAAAGCACCATTGCTTCAAAATTAAATAAGAATAAGAAGACTAACACATGAAAGACCATTAGACCAATAGTGAAGAAACCCAAAACTAAATCCAAAATCCAAGAACACATAAAACAATTTCGTACAGTTTACTCATTATTTTCCTTTTTTTTTTTTTTTTTTTTGTACGTATAAACACAAAAAAAATGTCTTCCATATCACAGAGCATAGCAACAATGATGATAATATCAAAATAAATACAAACCTTTTTACTCGTTAAAGGATACACATTTAACAAAATTGTATTAACCTCTTGAAAATAATAAAGTATCCAAGAAGAATCTGGACAAAACTTCAAAAAGTCTTTTAATTTAGAAAAATAAAACGTCAACTAAACCTTGTTTGCAGCGACAACAAAAAATAATCGAATCAAAATAAAATTTGGATATTTAATCAACAATTCGAGTTCAATACAATCATTATGAAAATTGATGAATCATTATTTTTTTCCGTCGCTGATTGAGAAAGTAGAAAGCCAATTGAATTATTTATTCTTGTCCAGCTTCACCCCCAGAATTTATATTTATATCGTTGACTTCCATGTTAATTTAAGAATACGAAATCGAAACCCAAGAAGACAGTGTTGATTAAATTAACAATGATTATTTGGTGGAGTATACACAGCTAAATGGAATATGTATCGCCGGAGTGGATAATATAGTATTACAGTGCTAGTCTGAGTAATAACTGTTGGTGGTCGAGAGGAATGGTAGACACGTTCTTTATCATTTGGAGAGAGAGAGAGAGAAGAGAGGGGTAGAGATGAAGGGCGTTTTCTGTTGGATTAGGTGTCTAAGCCCATAACTATAATTGGTATGTACTTGAATTGATAGCAGCACAGT